CACTCTAGGAAAAGGAACTGTGGTAGTTGTCTCCTTCCTCCATTTCAGTGTGTCCAGTCTACCAACATAGTTCCCAGTCACCGCCAGCTCATTCCAAAGCAAGGGAAAGGGAAAAGAGAGAAGAAGCAGAAGCTGTCCAGCCTGCCCTCCTGCCACTGTGGCACCCAGCTGGGAGGGTTTCTATCAGAGCTGCCTATGTGCTCTCCCATTGTACATGATGAGGCAGCCTTCTACATCCTCAAAAGTTGGCTTATGTGATGACCGAGAGAAGAATCTGTAAGGGAGCAGGAGCCTTTGCAGGAAGACACAACTTTCACCGCAGGTCTTTGGCTCTAATACAAGGCATTTCTTCCTTGCCTGCTTGTCATCCCAAGGATCTCACAAGAAAGGAAATCCTGGGAGTACATGTCTTCCAAATAGTACTAGAGTTTTGACCCCTCCACACTATCCCAGGCAAAAGTGATAAAATTACTCCATACATCTTTTTTTTTTTTGGTCCCTCCTTGATCCCACAAAACCACTATAATGGGATTGGGAATGGAGAGGAAACATGAGTTCAAGAGGACAGAGACAGCAGAAGGGACAGTTGCAAAGCATGCTAGTTAGAAGTTGGAAAACTGGAATGGATGATAATTGACTTAGCAACTCCAAGAAAGCTAAGGAAAAATTATTAACAACCTAATTTTCATGGAAAGGGGTGAGATGGAGAGAGGAGATTTGAATTAAGTCCTAGACACCTTTGGAATTAAGCAAACCAAAATCAGGAGAACTGGGTGAAAGGTGATTGAGAAACAGTTGAGTCTCACCTATTGTGGAGATTTGAATGAGGTGCCCCAACCCCAGTCTCTGGTGTCTGAACACTTGACCCCTAGTTGGTGGCACTATTTGGGAGGCGGGCTTAGAGTTTAAAGAGTCCTGTCTTTCTTCTTCATGCTCACAGTGAGGGCTTTCCCAAATCCAGCTCCAGCTGCAATGCCTGTTGCTTACTGCTAGATTGCTATGATGGACTCTTATCCCTCTGAAATCATAAGGCAAAATAAAACCTTCTTTAAGTTACCTTGATCACTGTGTTTTGTTTTTGTTTTTAAAACAGGGTTTCTTTGTGTAGCCCTGACTGTCCTGGAACTTGATCTATAGACCAGCGCTGGCCTTGAACTCAAGAGATCCACCTGCCCCTGGCTCCCAAGTACCTGGCTGATCACAGTACACTTGGGTTAGGGATGCCAGAAATATTCCAGATTCATCATGTGTTTGCTTTTGAATTAGTTTTCAGCTGTTGCACATTAAGAAACCTTTTACTGTTGCCAATTTTCTTCATGACCCCCCCCCATGCAGTGTGGATCACTACCCACATTTTGGGAAGTTGTGCCTTATCTCTCATCACCAACTTTTCCCACCACATATCTTCACTGATATGTTATTATCATCTAAAAACCCATGGTTTACATTAGGGTCCACTCTTGTGACCATACATTCTACAGGTTTGCACCAATGTGTGACTTGTATTCACCACCACAGTATCATACAGTATTTCCAGTGCTCTAAAAATTCTCTGTGGATTTTAAGAGGAAAGAAATTGTCTTCTGTGTTGCTAGGTAATCGTTGCTTTTCTAGTAGAGGGACCAACAGCAAGAGCTGCAGAGAGTGAAACAGCATGGTGCTGTTCTAGAAACAGCTGTAAAATAAAGCTCAAGTGACAGACGGGGCAGAGAAAATGAAAAGCCAGACACAGCAGATTTGCACAGAGAGAGAGAGAGAGAGAGAGAGAGAGAGAGAGAGAGAGAGAGAGAGAGAGAGAGAGAGAGAGAGAGAAATAGATCTGCAGGAGAAAGGGTTGAGAAGTCTGCAACAGCCTAGGGGAAAGGTGAGGAGGTCTGGTTTATACCTAAGTGAAAGCTATGCATCAGCAAACCTATGCTCAAAAGGCCTTCCTAGTAATTGCTGGATTGCAAGGAGATGGGGGAGGGGATAGCCAGCTCCCTGGCTAGAGAGGTGAGGGAGGAAGTGGCTGCAGCAGCTTTAATAGAAAGCGAGAGCCTCAAGACCATGGAGGGCTGTTCTCAGGCTTAGGGTAATCGAGTACCAGCAGAGACAGAGCATTATCTCAGAGACAACATGACTGAACCTTGGAGAGGGGGAGTCTGTCCTAACACTTAGAGAGGACCCTCATCAGTAGAGATAGTTTAAGTGGAAAAACAGAAAACAGAGCTGCCATGTACCGTGTGACAGGCATCGAGAAAGGAAAGTCTTCAGATAATCCCAAACAAGGGGTTATTCTTCAACAATTTCGTACGTGTATACAATGCATATTGATCATATCTTTCTCTCCCCACTTCCCGTAAGCTCCCCGATCCTTCTCCTTTCCACCTACATGCCCCCCTTTCTCTCGACTCACCGAGTCTAATTAGTGCTGCCAACATGGGCATGGGGATGGTGCCATCCACTGCAGTATAGACAACATACTAGCAGACACATAACTAAAGAAAATTAACACCTCCTTCCCCAGCAGCCATCAACTGCCAATAGTGTCTCAGTTAGGGGTGGAGCCTTATGAACTCTCCCTCCATCCCTGCTGGAATGCTCACTGGCTAAATTCTGCACAACTGTTGTTGAGTTCACAAGTGCCATGGCCATGTCATGTTCAGAAGAAAGCATTTCACAGCATTCCTTTGAATACACTGGCCTCTGCATTCTTTTTGCCCCTCTAACATGATATTCCCTTAGCCTTGGGGTAATAATAGATGTCCTGTTTGGGACTAAGCATTCAATAGTCACTTATTCTTAACTATTTGACCACTTATGAATTTCTGCATTATCTGTAAACAGAAGGTTCTCTGTCCAATCTTGGGAGCAGCACTAATATATGGGTACAAATATAAATATTTAGAAGGCAGCTTGACAACACGAACATTTAGCAGAACAACAGTACTTAGATTCCCCCCAGGGCTTGTCTCCTCCCAAACCATTGGCATTTGACCAAGTTTACAGTATCAAGTATGAATTCCTTCCTGTGAGGCAAGCCTCAGGTCCAATCAGAAAGAATTCAGCTAAACCACAACAATCATACCACTATTGCTCCAGTGGGAAGGCCTTGACTGACAGATCAGTATAGTAGCAGTAAGGTCCTGTGCTGGGTAGGGCCATTGTTTCTGTTTGTGTCCTACTATTGTTATAAAGCACCATGACCAAAAGCAACATGGGAAGGGAAGGGTTCATTTGCTTACATTTCCAGGTAACAGTTCATCATGAAGGGAAGTCAGGACAGGAACTCAAGGCAGGAATCAGAAGGAAGGGGCTGATACCCAGGACACAGAGGAATGCTACTATGCTTGCTACTATGCGTGCTTCCTGAGACTACCCAGAGCCACCTTCCCAGGGTGACGCCACGCACAGTGGTTTGTGCCCTCGCTCATCAGTTATCAATCAAGAACATGTCCTACAGTCTTGCCTACAAGCAATGTAATGGAAGCATTTTCTCAAGTGGGATTTCTCTTCCCACATGGCACTAGTTATGTGGAGATGAGGAAAAAAAAAACTAGCCACACCCTTTTCAAGGAAGATTCCTGACATGTATAGATAGGTTTATACAAGGTGACAAGTGATACTGCCCACAAAGGGTGGGGCCCTCCATCTCAATCATCAATCATTAATCAAGAGTATGTCCCACAGATGTGCTCACAGGTCAGCCTGAGGCAGTAATTCTTCAGCCGAGGCTCCTTCTCCCCAGATGACTTGTTTGTGCCACGCCCCTTCTTCTGTGCCCCATAAAAGGCCTTAGACAATAATCCGGGCACTAAAGTGTCTTCACTCGTGCAGCCTGCTGCTCCCTAGTAGTGTAGTGTATTCTGAATGTGTTTTTCTTTTTTGCTTTTCTTCAAATAAAGTTTTCTTGCTACTTTTGCACATCTGTGTGGGCTTTTATTTTAATTCCTTGAATAAGGGACCAGCAACATGAAAACGCTCTGCCCTAACGTCGGGTAGCAACCTACCTTAGTTTACTTGCCAAGGTGAAGGAATTAGGTAGGTCTTCACACTTAGCAGCAGTGAAGCCTTGGAGCTGCCAGGACGCAGCACAGCAGGGCTCCTGAGAACAGAAGAGGGGAGGGGGAGGGGGAGGGAGAGGGAAGGGGAAGGGAGGGCATGGGCGGGGACATTTCAGGCAGGTGTGGCCTGATTCTGGAAGAGGAAGTTGGGTAGAGGGCTTGTAATCTAACATCACTGATTTCTTCTTACTTCCCCTTTCGGGGGAGGTTTATGGGTTTTGCCAAAGCAGAAGGAATAGGCTGCTAGGCATTTTCTATGATGAATTAAGCCACAAACTATGGTTTATGTGAAGGATCTGGGAGGGAAATGGGGAGTAAGGTAAGGGAGGGCCCGAAGTGCAGTGCCCATACACCCTACTTAGAAGCCTTAGCGGTGGTGAGAAATGCTGCATGCTTCCACTAATCAGCTAGAATAGGCCTTGCTATTACAAGAAGGGCTCAGGGCTCCCAAATCCTGAGTCACTTTCTTGTCTATAGTGTAATACGAGCTGGGAGGGGGCGAGAGTAATGGGTAGATAAATAAATAAAGGCAATTAAATCAAGGACCGCACTGTTTCTTGGATGTGCCCGATTCCACTGTCTGGTCGGCAGCAGGTGGAACATCTAACTAGAGGTACTCCCCCTTTGAGGACTCTTGGGCCGGATGCTACGACAGAAGCCAAATTTCACTCTTTTAACAGTTAAAAATGTTCACAGACACGGAGAATACTAAACAGCAGAGAAGATGTGAACCTTACACCTCAGCATCAGGAATCTTCAATCCTACAGGGTAGCTAGCCAACAGCCTAGCCTCGCAGCGCTAAGCGCCGCGCCTGCGCACTGCAGACAATGAAGCCGCGCGCCCTCAGCGAGGAGGCGGGACTTGCCCGGGCATCCGGGTCCCACACCCCGCCTCCGCGGCATGAATGAGAGGCGCGGCGCCCGCCCCTCCCCCGCCGGGCCCGCCCCTCGCCGGGGCCGAAGCTATCAGTCGCCACCGCCAACTCAGCGGCTCGGACTCACGGACGCGGCTAGCTAGCAGTTCGCTGCCCGAAAGCTGCCGCCGCCGGGCGCCGCAGCCCTCACGCCTGCTGCCCACCGTCCGGGTGAGTGAGGGGAGGGCCGAGCCTGAGGCCGCACGGCTGAGGCTGAGGCTGAGGCTGAGACGCAGGCTCCGCAGGTCCGTCTCCGGGATGCTGAGGGCAGCGCGCCGGCCTCGCACCCGCTCCGAGACCGGGGGGCCGCGGGGCAGTCCCCACACACCCGCACAAAGGGCGGCGCGGGTTGTCACCAGGAGGTCACCCGGGGCTGGGCCCGGGTGGGGGAGGCGGGATAGGCGGAGGATGGAGGAGCCGCTGCCTCTGCGTTGGTGGTGGGGACGGACGCGCGTCTCGGGGACGCGGTGTGGCAGTGGTTTTCTGGTCCTGAGCCACTCCTTCCTTTGTGGCGCTTGTCTCGTGCCTGGTTGTCACACTGTGCAAGGCAGTGGTCTGCGCTGGCTTATTTACTGGGGAAAGTCATATGGCGGTCTCATCAGCTATGGGCGGGGGGGCGTGTGTGTGCTCGCAAGCCAGAGAATTAATGACCCTGCTTTGTTTCCGGAGACCCAAGGGGTGTGTGTTCTGTGAAATGAGATGGTCTGAGTCGTCTAAAAGGGCATATGGAAAAGAGGTGTAAAGATAACTTCACATCCTACCTGTCCGTGTCTGGTGTTATTTTGAGATAACATTTTTTTTTGTTTTTTGATTTTTTGTTTTTCTGGTTTTTTTTTTTTTTTTGGTGTTTCTTGTAAAATCAGTGGGTCTGTTCATTGAAAGTGTTACTCTGTATTATGTCGTTGTATATTTAAAATACATTGCTTTTGGGGTTGTCGGGGATACGCCAACATCCAGAGCATTGCCTTCTGAGCTTAGGTGGTTGATAATAGGTCTTTGTATACATATCTATAAGAATACTCCCATGTATCTAGGGCACTGTGTTACTCACTCTTCAGTACAGGTGAATCGTTTTTCTTGCCTCCCTGCCTTACAAAGTAAGAGGTGGTACAGCAGGTTCTCTTCACCTCCTTGTTTGTCCGCTCGCCCCGTGCCCCCCCCATGCTTTGGCAAAGGATTTTATTGCATATTCTCTTGGCATGCACCCTGGCTTTGATCTGAATATTCGAGTGTTTGGTTGGTTGCGCAGCCCAGCTCAACAGCTCATCTTACATGACTACCAGAAAACACCCTCCCCCCCCCCTTTCATCCTCCAAAGAGGGTAGGAAGCACTGTCGGGTCCCGTAGACTTTGACTTTTTAGGACTGCTAGCCTGTTCACTTCACCAGGTAAAAACAGATCTTTAGGCTAATACCAGCAAGGTGTGTCAGCCAACGCCTTTCATCCCATCATTTGGGAGGAAGAGACAGGAGGATCTCTTTGATTTCAAGGCCAGTCTGATCTACATCGGAATTTCTAGGCCAGAACTACCTGATGAGACCGTATCTCAACAAACAAACAAGCTATATCTTATTATTTTAAGACAGATTTGAATTTTATAAGATAGGTACTACTCTAGTTGGATAATGATATTTTGGTTTCCTTTTTACCCTTCTAATTTTGTAGAGTGAAAAGGCACATTTCAGAAATATTTTTGTTATCTTTTGATTCAAAATAGTGGTGATGGAAAAAACTCAGGAGTTTATATATGATTAATTGAGTGGGTTCAGGTTTCTTTAAGATTCTCTTCAAGATTATTTATTCTTTAGTCACATATATTTTCATTCCTAGTAAAATTTCAGTACAAAATTAAATGTAAACCTCCATAGCATCTGTTTATGTATAGACTCCCTGCTTAAAACATTTGCTTTTAATTTGAAGGAAATTTTCCACTGGTTGGATGTCAATCCATTATTCTTAATAAAATTCTTGCCTTGTTCATTTTTCTTAAACCAAACCATGGGTCACAACCCAATATGGGATTGCATAACTGAATGTGGGAGTCACAAATAATTAGCAATCCGAAGTTTCTGAATGTTCAGTGATCAAAAATTAATTCAAGGGGTTGGGGATGTAGTTTAGATGATGGATGGTGCATATTTGCTTAGCACACACAATGCAGTGCCCTGGATTTGGTCCCTTGGACTGAATTGGTGTTCCATACCTGTAACCCATTTCTCCTTGGGAGATTGGAGGCAAGAGGGTCTCCTTGGCTACATAATGAGTTTGAAGCTAGCCTGGAATACAAGAGACCCTGCTAAAGTGATAACAGTAAAAAGAATTCACAATCAGACACGTAATGGATCTGGCATTGCTGGTGTGGCAGTGCAGGACTTCACTGCAGCCTTGCTTCTGAGTATGCTCTGGCACCTCATGCTGTCACACCAACCATGCCAGTGAAGGCTGCCTGAAGTACCTTGGCTCAGATTCTAGGCTATTGTCTGTTAGAAGTACAGTGGTTTTGTTTGTTTGTTTGTTTTCTGAACCTAGAAAGTTCTGTGATCCTATTGAAATGTAATGGTTTAAAGCTGAGGATGTGGCAGACTCCTTTAATCCCAGTACTCTGGAGGCAGAGCTAGATGAATCTCTTGAGTTCAGGGCCAGCCTGGTCTCCAGAGTGAGTTCCAGGACAGCCAAGGCTATGCAGAGAAACCCTGTCTTGAAAAACTGATGGATGGATGGATGGATGGATGGATGGATGGATGGATGGATCTTTGAAGAGAAAAACACTGTACCTATTGTATTATTTAAATGTTTTTAAAGACAGGATCTCACCACATAGGCCTGGAACTCAGCATTGTAAACCAGGATAGAATATTTAGTGGGCAGTGGCACACAGGTGGAACTCTGAGTTCAAGGCCACCCTGGTCTACATAATGAGTTCCAGATCAGCCAGGGTTACATAGTGAGACCCTATCAAAACAAAAGCTGTTTGAGTTGCTAACTTGAATTTCATTAAAAAAAAATGAGTTTTGATTTAGGATTAGATTTCCAACAACTTCAGAAATGATCCTTTATCAGTTATTTTTTCTCTTTGCTGTGATAAAAATAACTGACAAATGACTTAAGGAGGGGTCTGTTTTGGCTGGCAGCTTGAGGATGTTGTGGTAGGGAAGTTCAAGACAGGAGTACAAGTCCCCTGTCAAACTGTGTCTAGTGGAGAAACAGAGAGTGATAGACATGATGTTTCCTTCCATCGTGTGAGGATGCTGCCATTCACATTCAAAGGGTGGCCCCTCTTTTTTTTTTCAAAATAATTATTTTGTTTTTTGTGTTTGGATGTTTCTCCTGCAAGTGTGTCTGTATCGGCACATTGCCTCGTGCCAGAGGGAGCCAGAGAAAAAGAGCATCTGATCCTCTGAAACTGGCATCGCAGACAGGTGTGAGGAGTCAATGTGGGTGCTGGGAATTGCATCCCAGTCCTCTGGAAGATGAGCCAATGCTTTTAACTGCTGGACTTTTTCCAGCCCAATCTCTTCTTCAATCAAACCTTTGGGGGGAAGGGGCACCTTTATAGACATACCTTGAAGTGTGATTTTTATGATGATTGTCCCATCAAGTTGAAAATCAACATGAACCAATGATAGGTCCTAAACATACTTCTTCCATTTTGTGCCATATATTTACATAAAGAAGCACTTAAGCATTGACATTAGACAAAACAGTCACCTCTGAAAATGGTGATGCTGTATGTAGCATAAAATATGTAGCCACAATTTAATTCTCTATATAAACGTAAACAAGCAATATGCAAATTTGCCTTTTGCCTTTAGTAAGTGGTAAAATTGTACAAGTCAAAGAGTTATTTTGAAATAAAATTGTTGTAGGTTTATTATCAGTAAATGTTTGGCTTAATTTTAAAACAGTTTTATATGCCTCTATTCCCGAGGTTACAAAAACATTTCTGAGGTGAAAGGGGATGAAAATGGGAAAGATGGCCCTGCCTTGGATGACTAAAGAGATTTTTTTTAGGGTCTTAAATTGGTAAAGGTTAACTTTCTTGTTTATTTTTTGTGACAGGGTGTCTCTGTGTGTGGCTCTGGATGTCTTGGAACTCTGCTCTGTAGACCAGGCTGGCCTTGAACTCACAGAGATTCATCTGCCTCTGCCTCCCGAGGGCCGGGATTAAAGGTGTGTTTGCCACCACCACCCGGCTAAAGGTTAACTTTTAAGTTTGATAGGTTTGGGTTTTATGATGTAGAATTTGTTTATTTTTGAAGCAGGGTTTTACTATAGACCAGTCTGGCCTCGAACTCAGAACTGCCTGCCTCTGCCTCCCAAGTATTGAGATCAAAGATGTATGCCACTACACCTGGATGAACTTTAAATTTTCAAGAGTGACTTCTGCCTCCCTCCCTTTTTCTTCTCTCTCTCTCTCTCTCTCTCTCTCTCTCTCTCTCTCTCTCTCTCTCTCTCTCTCTCTCTCTCTCTCTCTCTCTCTCTCTCTCTCTCTCTCTCTCTCTCTCTCTCTCTCTCTCTCTCTCTCTCTCTCTCTCTCTCTCTCTCTCTCTCTCTCTCTCTCTCTCTCTCTCTCTCTCTCTCTCTCTCTCTCTCGTTCCTCATATCAGAAACCACCTTCCTCCCCCATTCTTTGTCTCACATCCCTTCACTACTCACGGTTCCTGTATTTGTGCCCTCTCTCTTGCATCATTAACTTTGCACAGGTCTCTCCATGTCAGCTCATAGGCATGTTCTCTTGCCATCTTTGAAAACAGAGCACCAAATTTAATAAACTCTCTTTGCCTCCCATCAGTCTGTCCTGTTTACCTGATGGTTAAGATGTCTCAAGTGAGAGGTACACGCTTTGCCTGTCTCGTTATGTAGGACCCATCATTCCTAGCTGGTATTGTTGACTTACCTTCTTGTCTCTTAGCCCTACTAGGATGCCAGCGACAAGAAGGCAAGAACCTTTTCTATTCTGTAATTCAATTTTCAACCTAGTCAGCTAGCTCTTGACTTTTAATTTTTCTAATAAGAAAATCCTTTCATTTTTGTTTTATTTATTATTTTCTACACTAAAAGTTCTAGGCATTGGTGGCACATGCCTTTGATTCCAGCATTTGAGAGGCAGAAGCAGAAGGATCTCTGAGTTTGAGGCCAGTCTGGTCTACAGGGCCCAGGGGGTTGAACTC